CCCCAAAGGAGCTCAGGAGCTGTGGCTGTTGGCAGCATCGATGACACACTTTCACTTTCAGGAGGGACTTGAGTTTGATGCAGAAAAAAACATGCGAGGCCCATATTCAGAAGGAGGATTTGTTACAACTGATTGATCTGATTCTAATTTTACTCCCCCATCAGTAGTCAAATCTGCAATAATTGCTTATTGTTGAGTTCACAGGACCAACTCTGGTTATTTTGTTTTCCGAAGCACACGCCACTTTCATTTAGCARGTTTGCTCACTTTAATCAAATTCAGTTTTTCCAAGTAAGACGGAACTTGAAAGTGTTTTTCCTTTTTTACGCTTCTGGCATTAAAAACTGAAATGACTGGCTGCGTGTTGTGAATATTTTTGTGCACAAAAWCCAAAAACAAAGTCAAGGTAAAGGCAACTAATGAGCATTTAATGGTCCTATAAAAACAGTTATGATATAAATAGAAACTAAACTATCCTCTTGAGTGCAGTGAAAATCAAAAGAGGAGGCCAGATCAAGCTCATCTAACACGTGTCTGTAAAATGAACCAAACCGAAATCAAAGGTAAATTTTTTCCCCAAATTTCCCAGATGCAGTGATCTAGATTAAATATTTGTACACGCCAAAGCCTTGTGAGTTAGCTGATGGTTTGCCAAATTTCTATATTTGACATTTTAAAATAGATTAAAAAATAAATTTTCAGTTTGATGTGAGTATTTAAAAGACGTAACTGGGAAGAGTTGACTTAAAACCTGAAAGTGCTGTTTGGATCTCACATTTTCAATTAATTTTCGTATGTTAAGCTATAAATTAGCACACTGTAGCTACAGTGTACAAAGGCAGGTGTCTCATACAGAATGGCCCTGCGGATGACGGGGATGATTTGTCTGAACCGTATTTTRGACTGTCATCTTTGGGTCACAGTTAATTTAAAACAGTCTGAGGACAGGGACCATCTGGCCTTTCATCAGTGCACAGTTCACAGGGCTGCTTCTCTGATTGTATGGGGGTGCATTAGTGTCTATGGCATGGTGCAGCTTAGGTTAAGGCACCCTGATGCAAAAAAAAAAAAAACTGTTAAGAATAATGTGTGCCTCCATCCAAATGATATGTTTCATTCTAAATAAGATAAATACAGTGGTTGGATGTGGCRTAATTTACTCTAAAATCAGACTTTATAAAACATCCTGGCACAAAGAAGATCCTGTGTGATAATTGTGGTGACACTGCAGAATGCAAATGGGTTTAATTAGAAGAAGCATTTCCCCGGTGAGAGGGGAGAACAGTCACAGCACATGTTACACTTGTCCACTCAAAAACAGGAGTCCATTTCCTCTCACACATGTAACAAACAGGACATTTCTAATGTAATACTAAAGCTGGTATAAGGAATCTAAACAACCCTCAGCATT